TTTAAGGACAAACCATTTTAAAAGCAGCTGGCTTATATAATCATTCTTCATAAAGTTTCTTTTCCTAATACAGTGGCAATCTGGTTTTCACTTGAGAAGTGAATTATCCAGTTACATCTAACTAACTAGTTACAACTAACCAAATATGTTAGATATAAATTTCATTCATTTTATTTAAAGTGTTAAAATCTATATGTTGTTTACAGGAAATGTGTACTCCCTGAATTTTTAAATTCCCATAATTAGAAACCTTCAATAACTACAAATATCCTTCATTTATTCAAATATTTACCAAGAGCCTGCTATGTGCTTGCAAGGCACTATTCTAGGCACTAAAGATAGAGCAATGAATGAAATAAAAATCCTGACTTCATGGTGCTTCCAAGATCTAGTATGTGCTTGGGCATCGTAGTTACATACATAATTGGAAATATTCCACAAATTATTCATGCATGTCACAACTTTGCCATTCTCTCAAGTATCCTGAATTGAATCTTGAAAACTTCAATTGAGCTTGAGCCATAAAATAAAACCGTCTCCTCAACAATATCAATTTTGTCAAAAGATTTTATCCTCTTGTATCCCAATTCTCCAAAACTACTTACTCTTTTGCATGGAAGGGAGAAACATGTTAGGTATTTTAATTTTGAAGACAAATACAATTGTGAACATAAAAAGCATTATTTGGAGATATGCCCAAGAGAATTCTACAAGACTAATAAACTAAAATGCTAAGTAATTTCCATTTACCCATTCATTAAATAAAACATTCATTCATCCCACGAACTCACTGTATGGGGGGGAGGGGGAGAAGGTGAAGACACAAAATAAACACATGCAAATAAGCTTATGTTTATGAGCTTATTATGTTTAGGTCATAATCAGTGCTAGGAATAAAATAAACTCAGAGATGTGATGACAGACTACAATTCAGACTCACGTCTAAGTCTTTCAAGGTTGCCTGTAAGACTTCTTGACATTCATTTAGAAGATTGTGAGTATCAAGGCCTATCAATTTACCTCAATTTCACTTTTAAAGAATTAAGAACTAATCTGTGAAATCCTTTGGGATTGGGTTTTTGATTAGCTATAGTGTGACCATACAATTTATCACCCAAACTAAAACACTTTCAAAAGAGAAAAGAAGCATAATAATTATGCCAGACCATAGGCACAAAGAAGGATTTTCCACCAGGACAAACAAGGCCATGTGGTCACCCTAATTATATATCACATCAAATGTGACTAGCTCAAAATTTCAACAGTATTTCAGAGTTCCAGGTGAATTTAAATTATAAGTAATATCCAAGTAAATGGTCCAAATTATAATGTGGACCATATAAACCAAGTGAATCCCTTAACTAAATTTAAAGATTTAAATATCTCACACCATACACAAAATCAATTTCGGATGTACTATAGACCTAAATGTGAAAAGACAAAAGCAAAAAAGTTCTGAAAAGACCATCAAAATATCTCCATGATCTTGGGGTAGAAAAAAAAATTCCTTAAAAAAAGGCAAGAAAAGAAACACTAGCCATAAAGATAAAGAGTGATAAACAACTTTACATCAAAATGAAGAACTTCTCTGTTCACCAAAAGAAACTGTTGAATAAGACAATTTATTTGCAACAGATAGATGCAGCAAAAGATTCACATTGAGAAGACCAAACTCTAGAAAAACACATGCAATTCAATTGAAAAATGGACAAAAGATTTCAAAGGCTCTTCATGAAAAATGAAATCTAAATGACCAAGATACGAGAATTTGTGCACTTCATTAGTAATAAGGGACAGTAAAACCAGGTACAGCCACATACCCACCAGACTGACTAGAATGAAAATATCTGATACTAAGCATTATTGTTGGTGAGGGATGTGGAACAATTAGAAATCTCATATACTAATAACCGAAACAAAAACTAGTGAACTACTGCTTTGGAAAACTTGACATTACCTAATAAAGACACGCATTCCTCATGATCCTGCAATTCAAAGTGTATACCCTCAAAAATTTACAAAAATGTGCATCACTGCATTTAAACACAATTTTCATAAAGGCATTGTTCATAACAGCCAAAACATGTAAGCAATTTAAACATCAAATGCCGAATATCCAAAACACCTGCAGAATAGATAAACTTGTGTTATATTTATGATGGACTACTATGCCATGATGAAACCCAAAATGAAATATAGGGGTGAGCAAAAGTAGGTTGACAGTTGTATGTGAAACACAAGTTTATTCTTATATTATTATTTATTCTTGTGTTATATGTTTTTCCATAAGAACTGTAAATCTACTTTTGCCCACCTCTTTATATACAAGATGATTCCATTTATATGAAGTTAAAAAATGGACAAAACTAAACTCTATTATTTAGGAATGAAAACTTCAGTAACAAAGCTATCAATGTCAGAGTGACGTTTATATCTAGCCTTAAAAGGGCAGTAGTCATGATGGGAAGATGCAAGAGGTAAGAGGCTTCTGTGATCTTGGCAATGCCTGTTTTGCCCTGGGTGTTATTTACAAGGATCTTTGTTTTAAAATATTTCATTTTTATCTATGTTTCTTCTTTTTAAAAAAATCCTCACCTGAGGATGTTTTCATGATTTTTAGAGAAAGGGGCGGGGGGAGAGGGAGAAAGAGAGCGGGAGAGAGAAACATTAATCGGCTGCCTCCCATAGGACCCAAATGGAGCCCAAAACCACAACCTAGGTATGTGCCCTGGCCAGGGATCCGATCCACAACCTTTTAGTGTACGAAATGATGCTCCAATCAACTGAGCCACCCTGCAAGGGCTATGCATCTTTTCAATGTTTGTGGTTATATTTTGCAATTAAAAAAAAGGAAAACACTCTCCTTAGAGAGTATTAAAAAAAATTAATATCCTAAAGAGAATTCTAGTAATGTTACTCAGAGAGATCAACTCAATCTATAATTTAAAAAACTAATCAGGACCTCTAAATACAAATACCTACTGTATTCTAAACTCCATGAATAAATTTTCAGCTTTAGTATTGGAATGTCATCCTTCATCCAAATAAAGGTGGAATTTCAGTTATCAAATTACTCAAGAAGTAATGCAAATTCTAAAATTTTAATACCAAACACCCCACTTCTAATTTTGAAATCCGGTAAGTGTCTAGTGTTGACTGGATAATTATAAAGCAGTTTTAGATTAGATATTGCTAAGGAGAATACATATGCCAAGATTTGATAACTCTAATTTTTTGCAAACACAAATTACCAAACACATTAAATAACTCATTAATTTTTAAAAAGCATATATTATGTATGTGGGATTAAATATAAAAATGTTTATAAAAATAAAAAGATTTTTTAATCTTTTCATTGCTGTCCTTGTATCACATATTTATCGTCATGATATAAAATTAATATTATGTTTGGCATGTGGATTTAACTATTACAGATTAATAAAATGTTATTGACTCTAGAAGCTGGTTAAAGGAATATTTTTTTTAAATGTGGGTCATTAACAAAATACAGACATTTTGGTTTCTTGCACAGAAGAGTATATTCATAGGTTTTTAATAGACTGGAATACATTAGAAATCTTAAAAATGTATAGGTTTTTTTCTTTGAGAGGTGGCGGCACAGCCAACTAACTGACAAGTCACTAAACTAACAGATACTTTAACATTGAGATTAGGTGAAATAGTAGTTTTTTAAAAGTTATTAAACGACTTTACTAAGGAAAAGTGTTTTCAATCTCTATATGGCTCTCACCAAGAACTTCAGAGAGCCTTTTTCATAATTTCATAAAGTCATTAACCAAAAACACTACCCGGCAAAATACCCGTCTGGAAAAAGAACAGAAAAGGAAACTAAGTCAAGATTTGTCCCAACACGAGTGCTATCGAGAAAGATCTACCAGAGCATCCAAAAAAAAATGTCATTAAATACTTGTTTTATACCGTGAAATGAGTCTCCTACCAGTTAAAGATTAATTCTTTTTTTAAAGATTTAGAAAATTCCTTCGTAGCCCTGGACCTCTGTCCTTATCAAGCTACTTACTTATTCCCTAAGTCTACCAGATGTGCTGGCAAAATTACCTTAGCTATCGTGCTTCCCTCTCATATGTATGCCAAACCTGCGAGATATCTTTCAAGATCGAGAGCTAAAAAGTTTATTTACTCCTGGTTTCCTGGCGGAAGGAAGGCCTAGCGCGTGTGGGAAGGAAACAAAACCCATACACACAGACTGTGGCGAAGCTAAAAACTAAAGTAGGATACCCTCGTTCTCAACACCCAGAACTCCCTATCCCAGGGAGCCTTCACAAGGGTCGGTTGGCACCCACGGGCCACACAGTTCTGCCTCTGGAACAAGCGTCCAGGTTCCAGCCTGACCCCTCCTCCCCACCAGGCTTCCAGAAACAGGGCAGACGCGAGTGCAGCAAGCATTTTTAGAGATGGTTGAACAGACTTTGAGAAGGATTCGGTTTAACAGGTAAATGCCACATAGGAGACAAGAGGGATGTGGTCCACTCGAGAATGCACTGAAGAGCAAACCCAAAGTTTTAGCACATTAGTTACAGTTCACCTGAGGAATATCACAACAAATTGAAATTGAGAACGTGAGAAAATGGTGCTGTAGAATCAAGAAATCAGCACTAAACTCAAGCGAGACGGAAAAATTCTTTGACTACTCAGGCTTTGTTTCGTGGTAAGACGACAGACCACGGAATTTCAGAGTTGGAAGACACGTCGCTCCGCGTTCTCCTGCCCGTTCTGGGACTTCAGGGTCGCCCCGCCCGCCCAGCTCTCGGTCGTGTAATTCCCGGATGGAAGGCGCGGACCTCGGCAGTAGAAGCCGGGGACCCCTGGGGGAGGCCGCGGCGCGGCCCGGCCCGCGATGCTAGGGCCTGGAGGGAGAGAAAGAAGCGGCCTCCCAGCGGACGACGGAAGGGACAGGGAAGGAGCGAGAAGGCCGCAGGCCGAGACCGATGCGCGCGGCCCGACACCCCACCCCGGAGTACCTTTGGCGAGGGCTACGGTAGAGTTCTCGGTGTCGATGGTGTACAGGATGCCCTCGTAGCGGATCTCCGCCTTGGAGATAAGGCTGATCTTGCTGCCGATATAAGGGGTGCCCCCACTCATGGCGCCGCCGCCGCTCTGGGCTGCTCGCAGAGAGGCACAACCCACGCTGCGGTCCCGGCTCCGCACGCCCGCTCGCTCCGTCGGTGCCTACAGCAGCCGCCTCAGACTCAACATGGCGGCGGCGCCGGCTCCGCTACCCTCCCCCAGCCTTCCGCCCTCAAGCCGCGGCGCGGCGGCGGCGGCGGCAGCAGCGGCGGCGGCGCGGGGTATGCTGGGCCAGCGACGGCGCGCTCTCGCGAGACTCGGCCGGCTGCTAGTGGTCTGGCAGTTCGCCGCGGACTCGGGCGTCTCGGCCTCGTCGCTTGGGCTGGTCTATCGCGACTCTGCTTGGGCCAGCTGAGAAGAGTTTGAGGAGAGGCGAAAGGCATCGTGGCGTTCGGACACTGGGCGCGCGCGGCCCTGTTGACCTCAGCTGTGGCCTTCACCTGTCCGTACTCGTATTTTGTCCAGAGTCCCATGTCTTTCAAATGTTGATCCTCTGCCTGAAAGTTGCCCACCCGCCTCCAAACTCCTGACGATTTCCTTAAGACCCAGTCCTTCACCCTTTGAGGCCAGTGTGCCCCTTACAGAGGTCTCACGGTCGCGCTACAGCCCCCCCCCCCCGCCCCCACTCCCTGTTCCTGGAGCAGGGACTCTGTCCAACGTTTTCAGATGGTCCCATTCAGGCTGAAAGCTTTCAAAGTCATTATACACATACCAATCCTGAGTATTTAGCTTTGTTCAACTGTGTGAATTCTGGATTCACATAAACAATAGACTCAACCTCTTTAATTGGATGTCTAGTTGGCAACTTTGTGTGTCCAAAGCCTTAATCCTGATTTCCTTTCTAAACCTAACTTTTTCGATGGTTCTCCATTGAGGTGTGAAAATGAATAAAGGAAAACCACATTGAAAGTGGAGTGGGGAAGCCGTTCAGGGGAAATTTTTGGAAGGTACCACCCATCACAGCCTCTTTACAAATTTAGGCATGAAGTTTATTTTACTACCCTAGCAGGAGTAAGGTTTTTCTCCTCGTCCAGTAACTGCCTAGCAAGTGAGAAACCACCACACTCAGCCAATGAGAAGCCCCCACCATCTGGAACTTTTACTCTGGTCCAATGAACTTTTGCTTATAACCACCCACCTAAATCTAACCATTTCTCACCATCTCCACCCCTACTTCTCAGTAACATGCAACTATTATTCTGGTCAGAATTACTGCAATGGTCTAAAAGGTCTCTCAACTTCTGCCCTTGTCCCCAATAGTTTATTCTCAACAAAGCAGCCAGAAGGGTATTGTTAAAATCTAAGCCAGATCATATTCCTCCTCTAGTCAATACTCCTCTCCCCATAATCCCATGCCACACTGAGTGAAAGCCAGACTTCTTACTTTGTCTTACAAAGATATACATGATTTAGCCCCAGGTTACCTACTTCCCCATTTTGTTTCAGCCACCCCTTCTTTTCCCTGAGCTTTCACAGTTCATTCAGATCTCTGCTCAAATGTCTCCTCCAGGAATGACTTTCTCTAATGTCCTACTTAAAATAAGAACACCTGCATCACTCTACAACTTCTTACTCTGCTGGCCTTTTCTTCAAAGCATTTCTCTCTCCCCAATATGTCTATTTAATTATATTTGTGTATCTGTTTCCTTCACTAGAATGTAAATGTTTTGAGGGAGGGACTTTGTTTTGGTCACTGCTGGATGGTCAGGACCAAGTACAGTCCCTGGCACAGGGAAGCCAATCAGTAAGTGGCTATATGAATGAACAGTTAGAAGAAGGCAGGATGTCTGGTGAGCTGAGTGAACAAATAGTGAAAAGCCTGGCAACACTGAGATGGGGAAGCTGGAGAGAGTGGAAAGCACTAGAGGCTATGTTGGAGCTGATAGGCAGTGGCTTCAAAGGAAAGCTGTGAAATACCTGCTTAAGTGAAAGATCGTGGCCAGGGAGTTGAACTCTTATATCTGTTCTTTCCTCCCCCTTCCAGGCCTGAAACCTAGTTTACCTTCCCGTGCTTGCCCAGTGAGCTAATTCTCTGCCCCACCCGCGCCCCATCTATTGAAATAAGCTGACAGTTTCTAAATTTACATCTTCATTACAGGTTTCCTGACTTCCAGAGTCACATTAACTACATATTTACCACATGTGATTGCTTGGGTGTCCCACCTGCACTTCCAACTCCACATGTTTAAAATTATCTACATCTATATTTTCTTCTTCCCCAAAACAAACCTGTTCTTTTTTTTTAAAAAAGTTCTTAAATTATATTTTATTGATTATGCTATTACAGTTATCCTGATTTCCCCCCTTTTGTTCTCCTCCCCTCAGTGTCACCTACTTCCTCAGGCAATTCTTCCACCATTGTTCATGATCATGGTCATATGTATAAGTTCTTTGCCTACTCCATTTCCTATACTGTACTTTACATCCCTATGGCTATTCCATAACTACCTATTTGTACTTCTTAATCCATTCACCTGTTCACCCATTTTCCCTCTCTCTCCTCCCATCCTTCAATGACCTGGTAACTAACTTCTTTTCTCTTGCAACTTTTAAGAGTCTCTCTCTATCTTTAACCTTTGGTCTTTTAATTATGATGTGTCTTGGAGTGGGCTTCTGTGCATCCATCATAATTGGGACTCTCTACGCTTTCTGGACTTGCATGTCTATTTCCTTCATCAAATTAGGGAAACTTTCTTTCCCTATTTTTTCAAACAGATTTCCAATTTCTTGCTCTTTCTCTTTTCCTTTTGGCACCCCATGATGCGAATGTTGGACTTATTGAAGTTGTCCCAGAGGCTGTTTATACTATTCTCATTTTTTTGGATTCCTTTTTCTTCTTCTGTGTGGTTGTTTTTTTGTTCCGTATGTTCCAAATCATTGATTTAATTCTCAGCTTCATCCACTCCACTATTGTTGCCCTGTAAATTGTTACTGCAATGAGTGCATGCTTTGTTTCTGACTGGGTCTTTTTATGCTGCAGAGGTCCTCACTAAATTCCTTGGGCATCCTTATAACCAGTGTTTTGAACTCTGCATCTGATAGATTGCTTATCTCTACTTTGTTTAGCTTTTTTTTTTCCTGGAGTTTTTATCTGTTCTTTCATTTGGGCCGTTTCTTCGTCTCCTCTTTTTGGCAGCCTCCCTGTTTTTGTTTCTATGTATTAGGTAGAGCTGCTTTGTCCTGCCAGTGTGGCCTAATATAGTAGGTGTCTTGTAGGGTCCAGTGGCACAACCTCCCCTATCACCCAAGCTTGGTACTTGAGGTGCACCCTTCATGTGGGCTGAATATACCCTCCTCTTGTAGTTGAGTCTTGGTTGCTATTGGCAGACTAATGGGAGGGATTTACCTAATGGGAGGCAAGTCAGCCGCAAGGACTGGCTGTGAAGACTGACCATCGATCTCCACCATTCATGGCAGATCAGCTGTGCAGGGGCAGGGTGGAGGTGTTCTGAGGTGATCTGTAGCTGTCCACTGGGTGTTTTGGCCCTGGGGTTTCCTGGAATGTACAGGCCAAGGTCAGATCCCATCTGTGTTTCACCTGGGACACCTTGCCTGAGCTGTAAAGCAATCTGAGAAGGCTGCTACTTGTGCTGGGCAGGGAGATCAGGTGAAGTTAAGCTGTGAATTTAAAGTGACTGCTGCTGGGGCCCACTGAAACCAGCTTGTGCTTGTTTGATAGGAGTTTAGGAGCCAAGACCAGCCATTCTCATGGAAAAGCAGCTTGGGTGGGCCCATAAACTGGGTGGGGCAGAGCCTCTGGAGATCTCCAAGGCAGGTCAAACAGTGTTAGCCAGGTTGATGGGGTCTCAGATATGGCTTCAGCTTGTTGGCTCTGTCAGGGGAGGGTTTAGCAAAGGGACAATGGCCTCTGCTTGCCTTGATGCCAGACACTTTAGTTTCTCCCTCTATAGCACTGGTGCCTTCCAAGCTGCTACCATGGTGCTGGAGCTCAGAGGGAGTGAGTCTGAGTAGTTGAGTCTGTCTGTGGGTTCTTTAAAAGGAAATGCTTGGGGCTCCAGAAGTTTCTTCCACCAATGAATCTCCACTGGTCTTTGCAGCCAGACATTGTGGGGACTTATTTCCTGTCACTGGAATCCTGGATTGGGGGGCCTGGTGTAGGTGTGGGACTCCTTGCTCCTGAGATATCCCAAATTTTTATCCACGTGGGTGTGGGTCTGCACCATTATGCATCTGCACCCCTCTTACCTGTCTGGATGGATGTAGTTTCTTTAATTCTGTAGTTGTCAGACTTCCATTCATCTCAGTTACATGGTTTTCAGACTTCCATTCAGCTCAATTTCTGATTTTCCTGAGTGATGGTTGTTCTATATTTTAATTGTAATTTTGATGTGGTTGTGTGAAGAGGCAAGCCATGTCTGCCTACATCACCACCTTGCCTGGAAGTCACAAACCTGTTCTTTATCCATGTTCCCCATCCCCATAACTGGCCTAAGGACTCACCCAGGTGTCCAGTCCTGAAACCAAGAGTCCTTATCTACCTATACTCAACCAATCACCAATCTTATTGATTCTACTTTATGTTTCATAATTCATGGTTTCCTGCACCCTAGGGCACCAGAAACTATGAACACATGCAGCTGGTCAGTTTGGTAGCCCATAGTGTATTATCCATGTGACTTTTTAATTCATATGCCAAGAAAAAAGTTGAGAACTGTGACACATATAACTACCATGGCTTCCTAAAACCCAAATCCTGTGTTGTTTCCCATTAATGACTTCTGGAAGCCTACAGGAAAAAGAACTCCCTCCCATTGAATGTTTTCAGAAATAGATGCTCTAGAATTTCTACATTGGAGGGGCTAAGGAGAGGTAATCTTGTTGGAAGGGGCGATGGGGAGGATTGGAGGCCAGTCCAAAGCTAATTTTCTAGCTAGTACACTGTTTTTTCTTACATTTGCCTTTGCTTGAGGAGGTAGGGGAATAGCTGATGAAGAAAAAGGAGAAAACAATGCTCCTGCCCTTCATCATCTTTTGGTGTGGTTGCTGTTATTCACTGTAACACCCGACATACTCTCAGCATGCCTTAGGCTACGGTCACACTGAATTAATTGCTTCTCAGAACATCTTGCTCTTCCTCCTTTACTCATTCCTTAATCTCCATTGATATAAAAGATTCTCTGTCCTAGCTCCATTTGACAGGCAAGATTCACAGTCACCCTCATTCTAGAGATAAAAATAGCTCAGAAAACACACCGGTCAGA